AAACCCTTCCTAGCAAGGGAGACATATACCGCGTACTTAATATAAAATCTTGCCTTGTTACAAGTCTAAAATTTATAGTAAAAATACATGCGGGGAGCCGCCTGCTTCTTCAAAAAAAAAAAAAATAAATAAATATATTATATAAACATTTTTAATTTAATTTAATTGTTAATAATATAAAATTTTTAGATATGATTTATAAAAAACAATATATTTGTAAAGAATGATATATTTGCTTATTGAATAAAATCAAAACTTTTAAGCTTTTTTTTATTAAAATCAAAATCTAAAAATTATTCTTATAAAATCTTTTTTAATTTGAATAAAATTTAATATTTTTTATAAATATTAATATATATATATATTATTACTTATAATTAGTTAAATTATTTTTTTTTTTTTAAATATTAAGCGAGGCAATTAGTTAAATTATTTAATTTCTATTAAAGAATTAAAAATATATACAGTATATGTATATATATTTTTATTGGTTTTTTTTTATAGGTTTTTTTTTTATAAAAATATTTTTTGTTACAACCTTTTTAGATAAATTTCTAATATTAAATTAAAGAAAAATAATAAATATATATATATATAGATTTTGTTATTGTAAGAATAAAACATATCTAACATAAGTATTATAAATAAACAATTTATCTTATTAATAAATTTAGAAAACATAATATAAATTAAGACCAATCATGGTAAAACAAGTTACGAAGTCACGTCTTTTTTTTTAAAAAAAAAGTTTTAGTTCTTTTTCTATCCTCACTTCAATGGTTTATATCAACGATTGGAACGAATATCAAGAGGCTGTTGAACAACTATATTTGAATTCTCCAAAAAAGGTAAAAAAATATGTTCTAGTAATTAAAATTTTTTCGAGATTCATGTCCCCTAATTTCATTTCGTCCGTGAAACTGGTCATTAAAGACACGTTATGTGACAAGCTGGCGTCATTCCACGGGACAACTTGTTATGAAGGTCACTGACGATTCACTGGTTCTCAAGTACAGAACGGACCAAGCTACAGATTTGAAAAAATTTGAACGATTAAATCGATCAATGATGTTGAAAATGCAGAACAGGAAGGAGCCAAATGAAAGCGAAAGTAAATTTGCATAAACTTCAAAAATATTAAAAAATTAATATAAATCACGAATTCCATCAACTGTAGTTGCCACTTCATCCGGAACGATACAATCTCAGCAACTAACGCAGGTGTCGGACCAAACTACCGAGGTAATTCCTGCGACAGAATCGGCAGCTGGAACATCATCTGGAGCGTCAAATCAGCAACCATCTTCAAAAAAGAAGGGAAAGAAAGGACGATGAATCGATCGTGGCCATTATGTTCGTGTTCCTTTTATTATAGAATTTGTAAAATATCAAACTTACAAAATCGATTTCTTTCAACATGGACATGGCTAATAAAATTTTTCAACTTGAAAACCAAATTCTAAATGAATCTATATAGTACATGTAATCAAAATATCTACTATTATTAAATCATTCACGTTTTGGTTTTGACAGAGGATCGTGAACTTTCCAAAAGCCAAGGAAATAGTTCGATCTGATGGTCAATAAGTCAACGGCCATCTGAATAGAATCTTTTACCAATGATACTTTTGATCCTTCAATCTCACGCCAATTGACTGGTATTTCAACTATTGGCATCTTTAGATACTGCGCAATAAGAAGAACTTCGATGTCAAAGATCCAACCTTCTACATGTATATTATCGAATATATATAAAGCTGATTTACGTGTAAAAAGTTTAAAGCCACATTGTGTGTCAGCTATTGCACGAATTCCTAATACATACAATACTTTATGAAAAGAATGCATTAGAAAATTTCGAATAAAAGATCTCTACAAAATTTTTATAGAATAGATTAGTACACATGAAATATACACATGCGCACGTATATGTATCCTAGAAATAGACATTACCTTTACGACTGCATCAGTTTTCACTAAATGAGCCCGTGATCCGACAGCTACTCCAAACCCATCTTTACTAACAATTTTGCTCAATTTCCTCTCCAAAAGTTCAAGGTCAGCAAATTTTGTAGCTCCGTCCGCATCTGCAAAAAGAATATATTTTCCACTAGACGACAAGACACCCTATTAAATAATTTCATATACGATTACATTTTTAATCTCCAATAAAAACCGACTTTATTTAACTAACCTGTTTCACCGCTCCTCCTTTTTTCCTGTTTTTTTCTAACCCTTGAAATTGAATCCAATATGAATAAATAAAGTTAGTCTTTACTATGCATATCGTATCCCATATAG